TCTTTACTGTCTTTGGCCCATACAGTCTACACACGAATTCTTCCAGGGCTGTTTGAATGTCATCCGATACTTCAAGGCTTTGTCCAAGCCGACTGAATGTTCTTTGAAATTTTCCTCTACCTTTCACGATGTTGAGCGCAGACAACTTCCCTTTGACTGCAAATGCATGAACTGCATCACATCAGTGAATGCACGAAGTCCTGGTGTTCGAAATATCCTCTGAGAGCTCGTATTTCTGCTGCGGAATACACTGTTTGTCATGATTCAGGGAAGCTTGTCCTTGTCAATGCTGCAATGTATGATGCAATCTGATGTTTGTGATCGCTTGGTATTGCCCATTCTTCATCATCAGTTTTTGACGTGATTATATTCTATATATCTAAGGTAAGAAAATGCAAAATTATAGAATATATCAAGAAAAGTTTATTCAAATTTATCCCAGATTTTACGAGAATTTTCTATGCAACACAATTAAACAGTGAGTCTACATTTTCCTATCTGTTTCTGTTGTTGAATCTTGTGGCATATTCTAATTAGAAAGTTCAAACAATGGTAGAAAAAATGAAAACGAAAATCCTGTAGATATTATTCTTCTGTTCCTAGAACTCATGATATGGTCTGTAGTTTATACATCAGACTAATTTAAAAAAACATGATGTGGTCTGTAATGTATACATCAGACTAATTAAAAAACATGATGTGGTCTGTAATTTATACATCAGACTAATTAAAAACATGATGTGGTCTGTAATTTATACATCAGACTAATTTAAAAACAGATGTGGTCTGTAATTTATATATCAGACTAATTTAAAAAACAGATGTGGTCTGTAATTTATACATCAGACTAATTAAAAACTATGATCTGATCTGTAATTTATACATCAGACTAATTTAAAACCATGATCTGGTCTGTAACTTATACATCAGACTAATTAAAAAAACATGATGTGGTCTGTAATGTGTAATCAGACTAATTAAAAAACATGATGTGGTCTGTAATTTATACATCAGACTAATTTAAAAACATGATGTGGTCTGTAATTTATACATCAGACTAATTTAAAAAACAGATGTGGTCTGTAATTTATACATTAAACTAATTCTAAAGACCATCCACCTAAATCTGTAATTTATACATCAAACTAATTCTAAAGACCATCTACCTAAATCTGTAATTTTTACATCAAACTAATTCTAAAGACCATCCACCTAAATCTGTAATTTATACATCAAACTAATTCTAAAGACCATCCACCTAAATTTTTTGATGTATAATGCAGAATTTAATTTCAAATTGTTACTTGAAAAGGGATTTTAGGATTAGGTTTTCTTAAAAAGAGATTGTCACCAGAGAACAAAGAAAGTGGGTCAGTAAAACGGGTTAGCACTGTTTTGGAGGCAGTTAAACTTACCTTCATTTCCTGAATAATATATGATGCTAATTGATAAGCATTTGTTTCCACTTTATCACAATTTGTTGTGTACATATTAGAAGTTGAGTGTTTATATTTTTATTATTACTTAGGTCTGTAATTTACTCGTTATGGTCTGTAAAATACATACAGCCAATATTACCATACGGCCAATGTTATCAGCAGAGGTTTCCTTCCTGGGAGCCATTTCTGATCAATGTTTTCTCACAAATCGTACTGTACCTTCTTAAATTACATAAAACTTTTTTAATAGTGTAAACACAAAATAATACTTACATGAAATGGTGTAGTTTTCTTATTGATGCCTGCTCGGTGAGGGTAAGCAGTGGTGGAGTTATTCAGCGTCTCGTGATGTAACATGGTTCTCACTGTTGGTGGCAGCAGGCTCACTGCTCTAGCAATACCAACAGACTGTTCCCCCTTTTCATAGCGAATTAAAACATCCATAGTGACATTTAAACTAACACTTTTACTTTCTTTATTCTTGTGAAGTGAAAAATTACCACTTTCTAGACGTTTAGAATTTATTTTGCTTCAATCTGGCGCCGCGTTTCTCTACGATCTGTGAACTTGTCGACAGCATTTGTTTTCTCGAGGGCAGCGTCATTTTGGTTGTGTTTGCACGCATTGCTCAACAGTAGCGTGTTTTGATGTATTTTTGAAATATGAAATACGTGATTTTTTTCATTTGTTATTTAGTCGATGGCGTAAAAGCGAAATCGTGTAATGAGTGGCCACGTATAAGGAGGACCCCTTTTAAAGTATCAGAATAAGTGAACGCTGCTTTACCATGATATCTATCGTAGAAAAATGAATAACCAAAAATATAGTGCCAAATGTTCCTTCGATGTGGTACCTTTGATCCAATTTTCGACCACCTGGCCCATGGATTGTTTGTTTGAAGTTAAGCACAAAGCTACACAATGGGCTATCTGTGCTATGCCCACCACAGCTATCGAAACCCGGTTTCTAGCGTTGTATGTCCGCAGACATACAGCTGTGCCACTAGAGGGAGGCTTGGACTAAAGAAGCTGTAAACATAAACTTATTCTTATTTTTCACAAACATGGTTTTTCCCATTGCTTTTGAGCTCCAGGATTCTTCATGTTTGTGATAAATTCAATAACCTTCTGCTGCGGATTATGTGATTAATAACTTTTCAGAATATCTAGACATTTGTAACAGGCTTCTCACGAGACAGTGGGGGGGGGGGTATTTTTGTTGAAAAAACAAACAAATTACCCAATCGGGTTTTTCTTAATTTGAACTGAAATTTTTTAGACATTTTTATTGGCTAAAAAAGAAGGCATTTCCCGCACTATTTTAGCGTTGAGACTGTAAAAAGTGATTTGAAGTGGTAAGGTTATTGAAATCCGTCAGCGCATCACGAGCTTAACGGTCAAACAGAAGTATGGAAGTCTCCAAATGACACGGAAAGATATTCAGGAACCGTTTAGAACCACTTTGGTAGATATCGTGCAGCAAGCCGAAGACAATATTGTGCCTGTAGCAAAGTGTTCCTGTCTGCTCGTCCTACTGCTGACTATCGTGATGCTTCGACCTTATCTACCGAATTGTAGGTGAAATCGTTAGTATATCAATTGAAAGTTAAACATAAAAAGGTGATAGCAGAAGCATAAAAGGTTGGCATTTGCTTAGTTTATGATGCTCAGCACATGGCTTTATTGATATACATTGAATTTACTCCCAGCAAATAGACCTTAGTGCTACTTAGTATGGAGACTTGAGATGCTATATTTCACTTACAAATTTATCAATTATCAAACGAAAACTTGTCTCGAAGTTAATAATGGTTGGAGACGGCTTGAATGGGTAATGAAGAAAAACTTATGTGTACCTGATGATGACAAAACCTTGTCGAAATGTTGTAATTTTGCTGTTGTGTTAAACTTATATTAAAAGAATGCTTGATTATTTATTTATTTATTTTTAATTCTAACGAAATCATTTCGTCCTTGCTGGTTTTAATTTACGAGTTTCACACGGACAAGTTTACAGGTCTGAGTAAGTAAGTACGTAATTAACACAATAATCTCTTGAACAGACAAAACCGTTGAAATTCAATATCTAAAAGATTTT